CAGTAGTGACACTCAATCATTGTTTTACCCAGAAATTAAATCGTCACAAAATATCTGTCCTAGAGAAAAACTTCTTAGGAATGTAGTGCTAATGATGCCTCAAAAGATACACAGTAAGCTTTGTAGCTTTCAGACTTTTATTTCATGTATTTATCTATTTCACAGTGGCAGGGAAAAAACCCACAACTTTTTGTTCTGCAACTTCTGACATTCAAAATGACCTCCAGTTAGAATGGTGGCAGTGACGGGCTGAAGGAGGGAAAATGGCTGTTTCAGGGGTTTAGACTTTCAGTTTTGCCTGATGCGAAACTTCGGGTGATCAGCTGTACAAGGATGTGAATACAAGTAACACAACTGAATCATATACTTAAAACGGTTCAGACGGTAAATTTTGTATGTGTACTGTACCACAATTGAAAATAAATGTATCGCCAATGAAACCTAAGGGAAATTATTTTTCTATTACTAGCTTTTATTATTTTCTTTAAGACCCTTATTTTTGTTAACACGGTTCCCTTTGGGCATATTTAAAAGGTGATTTAAAAATAATTTTAAAAAATAATCTAATGGAGTCTGACAGATATTGAAAGGTGGGAGGAACTGTGACACGACAAATAATTCTAGACATCAATCCTGCTCATATGAGATGCTTTCCTGTCCACACCCTCCAACCAGGCCTCCCAAGGAAGAGCTGGACAGCAGGAGGGGAGACACCAAGAAAACAGCGATCTCCACCTCCAGGAGGGTAGAAAAGTCCTAGGAACTTTATGCTTAACAAAATAACCCCCATAATCATTTGCTGTAATGATAACAACTAATATTTTCTATGAATTTCACAATTTGTGAAGCACATGTTTATCAAGTATTTCACCTGAATCACTACAACTATCATGTCCTACAGGCAGGACTGCACATATAATTATCTCTGTGATGCTGAGACAAAGAAACGGGCCAAGAGAGGTGAAGCACCAAGGACTGCTGACTCCACTGATGAGGGTGACAGGTGACTGAGAGCACTCAGCATCCCATGGAGGCTCAGACGCCCCCTAATCCTTAGACGCCAATGCAAGGATCTAGGTAAACTGAAGGAAAAATCAGATAGTAGAAAAGACACAGAAGTATACCGTAGGTGCTTCTTTCTTTAAATATTGCTCTAAGTGGCCCATTTTTTTTAAATTCACCAACAAAATTTTTCTTTCCAAACACAAAAGTACACTTTGAAACACGAAGTGCAGGAAATCCATGATTAGACTTCCTCAGAGGCAAGAGGCATCTCACTGAAAGAGAGCTCCCACCCCATCTCCAGCCTAGAGCGAGGCTGAATCTACTAAACTGCAGGCTTTCTCTCTCTTTGAGGGATAAACCGAAACCTCCAAGGTGTCAGGAACACAGCAGAGCCCCCGAGCAGCTGACAAGCAGTAAGTGATAATCGTAGGCCCACTAACAGGGGGCAGAAAGGAAGCCCTCAATGAAATGCCTCAGAAGCAGTGCTGACAGCTACAAACACTGCAAGGAGCGGTGGGCAGTACTGGCTGCTTCTCGGGACACCAGCACACCTATAGTGACCGGACATGGGTGGCATACGCTGGCTTCTCCCACAGTGGGCACTCACATCCGTCTCCATCTACACGGGTGGGACGTGTGTCCTCAGGCCCTCCTCTGAGAGCGCTGGCACTCCCGGTGTCCAAGAGACCTTACAGCAGAGTAGTCGAAAAACAGATCGAGGTTTGAGGTCCAGCTCCAGCACTTGCTAGCTGGGTGACATTGGGGAAGTTATTCAACTGCTCTGAGACCCAGTTTCTTCAACTGCAAAAGGCTAGTGAGACCTTCCCGGCAGGATCGCCAAGAGGGTGAGAGAGAAAATGAGTGAAGTGCCTAATACAATTCATGACTTACAAGTGGGTTCTCAAGACAGGACAGCTATAACTACAATTATGCTTCAGGAAGTGTGCAAGCAATTTTGACTCAGCCCATAACAGGCAAGTCCACCTTAGAAGACTTCTGTGGCTGCCTCGCTGGTCAAGTGTGGATTTGCTATTTGCACCACACCAGCTTACCCCCTCAGGACACTCCAGGTATTCAAAGATAAAGTTGCTTGGGGCTCAACCACGCCAAATGGCATAAACTCGTTTTTTTTTGCATGTTGCATCTCCCAGATGCGTACAGGAAATGGGAAAACGCCTGCACATAATGGAGACATTTCAAAACCAGATAGTGAAAGGCTGTTCAGCATCTTTTTCCTTTCTCTTCCTCGAAAGGTACAGGAAGGTCCACACTAACGCTTCCCTTTTGGAACATTCTTATCTCCAGAGATCATCTTGGGCTCCTCTCGCTTCAATTCAACCTTCTTAGCTAAAGGCAAGAATTTTTCTCACCTCCACAGTGACCTCTGCACACATTTAGCCAAAAAAAAAAAAAAATCCAAATCCGTGAACACTCAGCCCTGTGCTTCTGTTCCAAGATGAGCTCCAGCATGTTACTAGCTCGAAAGTTATTCCAGAATAGTTGGCCATGGTTCTCCCACAGTGAGATTCTGCCCCAACATGATTACCACCATGCAACCTATTGTGTGTGGCTTTACATTTTAGGGGAAAGTTAACTATAAAATGAGCCCCATTTAAAGAATTAAGAACATAGCTCAACTTCCCTTTATTTATCCAGATGGCCTAAAAATCCTTTCAGGTCTTATGAAAATCAGAATAAACAGCAAATACTATATAAAATTTTCAAAGCCACTTCTGGTTGAGCCTGCCATTCCGATTATGTATACCCATGGCCCGACTGCTCCAATGTAGGGTCTCCTGGGTGTGTATTTGTATTCTGGCTGCTTATTCTAAGGAGTCCACTCTATATTACTTGCCTTAACCAGGGCTGTGCAGGTATTAATTCTTTGCGACATTGAGGACAGGAGTATCCTTTCTTAAAACCCATCCTAATTCCTTGTGTTCAAATGCTGACGACCCCATCTGTGGAGAATAGCTACATAATACAGAAAACTCTGCATAATCAATAAAGCACCGAGAGCCAAAACTATGCAAACAACTCCCAAGACATCAGAGATGTTCCATAAAAAAGTTCACAACTCCGTCCTAAGGCACCCCCGAACCCACTGAACAAAACCGGAGCTCATGACCCTCCCAAACCAGTCTCCATCAGTATTTCTATTTTAGCAGCCCACGGCGGACATCTAGGTATCGACCCACTACTGTCTTGTCAGCTTCTCCTCCTTTGTATTTTTCACATACAATCCCGTGGCTGCCTCCTCCGTCACTCCGAGCGCACCAGGAATGCTAATCGAGCCATTCTTATGGGCTCCTGACCTCCAGCCGTACCGCCCCCCCCCCAGCCTCTCCTCCACAGGATCCTTCATACGAAAACCTGACCTTATCTCCTACCTGTCACTCCTCAACGTGCAAACTCCTCAACGGTCAGCAGGATAAAACCGGAGCCCCTTCATCTGACACTGACTGCTTGACCTTACAGATGATGATGTGTTTGTTTCCGGTCTATTTGCCCAACTGTGACGTACACTCCATAACGGCTGGATGGCCACTGCCTACAGCTACCCACATAGGTGGGAGCTCAAGAAAGACGCATGAAATGAAGAGCAGGCACGCACGCTTCTCTTCTCACCTCGTGTCTTACCGTTCCCTACCTCACGCTTCACACTCAATGACACCAAACAACTGGCAATTCCCCAGATCTCTGGGCTGAGCTCTGAGCCGCTCAGCATGTCGTTCTCACAATCTAAGATGCTTTCCCTCTCTGCTTGGGAGTCTGAGAAATTCCCTCTGGTGCATCAAATCTCAGCTGAAATACTAACCCTGTAGGAAACCTTCCCCTGAGAATCTAACCCGTAGACGAACGTGCTCCTGGTCCGTCTCTTCCACTGCCATTCCAGACGTCCCACAAGCCAGCGACCCAGCTGTACACTGTCAATTGACACCAGGCTCTGGCCCCACAATTGAGGCCAAGAACTGTGATTTTCACCACTGACCCCCCAGCACTGACAAAGTTCCTGATGCAAAATAGGCACTTACACAGTCCTATAATAAATGAATTAATAAAATAAAACAATGATGATGATAATGATAGCTAACATTTATGTCACATTTACTATGTGCCAGATACTATTCCTAGTGCCTTATATTAAGTAACTTATTTAATAAAGTAAGAAATTAACAGTAAGAACAGCTCTGGCTTTACATATCTAGTGTATGTATCTAGTTTTAGCACCTTTCTTACATACAAATTAAATATCTGGACTTAATAATTTTCAAAACGAAGCTATAAATAGAAGAGCCTTTCCTGTCTGATTTGCCAGATGGGTATTCAGTCTCCATATTTGTAGGGGGGGGGGGGAAGCCATCTGATCTAAAGTGATATTTCCCTCCTTTAAACTCTACTTCCCCTTAGACAGTAGGAAAAAGGATGCTTGTGGATCTTAGAAAGATTGTCTCAGGGCCGGCCAAGTGGTTCAGTTGGTTAAGAGCTCGCTCAACGGTTTGAGCTCTGAGCAACAACAGTTCGAGTCCGGTCTGAGCTGAGCAGCCACTGAGCTACCAACAGGTGGCAGGATGGCTCAGCTTAAAAAAAAACAAAAAACTGTCTCTGAACCAGAGTGAACATTAAAATAAAGAGTGTTTAATCAAACTCCCTGGGGAGAGAATGAACTAAGCTAAAACTCATTCCATGGATGAGGTTTTTCTTCCCCACGACTGCTTCCTATTAAATTGAAAAATACCTGGCCAGCTCCTATTACCACTCCATGTAAATCACTAACTTAACTAGAGCTTTTAATGGCTATGATTTCATGAATATATTACTTCACACAGGGGATGAAGCATAAGTGAGCAGTTTCATCAAACAACGAGGCTGGAATTCAGAAGCCCAAGTTTTGGGTGGCATCTTATGGTATCTGATGGAGAGGGCACGGACCCCAAACAAAGGGGTCCTCTGCCTAGCTCGGCCACTACCCTCAGGGGCGATCCAAAGCAAGTCACTTAACCTCTGGGAAGGGGCGTGGCTTCCTCTCCAGGAAAGGAAAGCAGTAATGCCTGCCCACCCTCCTTCATGATGGTTCAGAGGGTCAAACCCTGGCCTGAGGATTTTGAAAACTGTAAGGCAGTATGTGAATACAAGGTATATTATTATTCACTGCTACCTGCTTCTGCAACCTCAGCTGAATCGAAACACCTCCCTTCACCTTTGTATAAAGACCGACAGAGGGTTAGAACCTCTTAACTGCATAAAAGAATTAGAAGACTCAATGAAGCCATGTTGAGAAAGGTGCCCTCCCCTTCATAGATGGAAGGTGCTTTGTAAACCACCTCTACTTAATGCAGAGAGAAAAATCAACCCTATTACAACTGGTCTGAGCAGTTAATGCTATGCAAATAAGTCCCTTCTCAGTCCACATAACTGAAATAAAATTTTATTGGAAACAAAATTCAGTAAAAAAAATCCTTTATTGCACCAACAATTAGCTTCTCAATTAGCTCTCAAGTAGATATGCACTAATGTAGGCCACTGAAAGGCTGTATTAAAAACAATAAAACTTTTTTTAAAAACCTAACACATAAAAAGAAATGAGAACTCAGCTTCTCCTGTGCAGGGATGGAAACTGCCCCCCGCCCCCATGCCCACAGACCCCACTCCCTCCACGCTTCCCCGCTTCCTTTCACTGGCACTCACCCGAGGTTCAGGTGCTTGAGTTTCTGAAGGCTGCTGATCTGTGTGGGCAGCTCCTCAATCTGGTTGTTAAAAAAGTTGAGCACTTCCAAATTCTTCAGCTCCGCTATGTTTGGTGGCACGGCTGCGGAAACAAAACGCTGAGTGTGAACTCAGGAGCCGTGTTACCACAAGGAATCCCAGCGACACACTGTATTTTTCTTTCATGTGAAAGAGAAATGCATGACCATCTAATTCACGTACGCTTATTTTTTGCAGGTTTTTCTTAGGTTGTAACTCACCAATGAGTAGACAGGGAAATGTTTCTTCAAAGGGCAAAAGAGAACATCTGTGCCAGCAACAGCCTATAAGTGAATGTTGCAAAGTGTATATATACTTTTATAATTGTCATAGGATGCCTGATATGTGCAACTGTTTCCTTCCTTTTTGTTTCCTTGCAGCTCCACCAGTGAGCTCCAATTCTCCTCCTGATACATTCATGAGCTATTTCAATAATCTGATATCTGAAGAGCTATTCTCTTAACATTGCACTAAATCACAACAATTTATGTTCAACCTTAAATGATGCAATATTCAACCTACCTAGTTTCTGATTTTGGCCTCTGGCCTTTGCACTTTGATCAATACACACACACACACACACACACACACACACACACACACGTTGCACTGGATTAGCAACTGATTGATGCACTGTCATTTTAAAGAAATAATTTATAGAAGAGCATGACATGAATACTAGTATGCAGATCAGTAAACCAAAGGTTAATATACCACTGGGGGCCTGAAACTCTCTTCCTTCCCTAGAGTACACACTCACAAATACAAATTTAAAGGCCAAAGGCACGTTTATTTCAAAAGCACTCTCAACTGGTAGCAGAAATACTTTCCATAGACTGTACTCCTTCATGTAGCCCATATGCTGATTTAGTCTTTCTGCAAACATTCGTTATTGGCTAAGAGCTCATCCACGGTTCCTGTAAACACGAATACCAAGGCTGTCCAGGTAACTGAAACCATTGACGGGGGCCTTGGGTACAGCATAAGAAAGGGTTTTCTCTCATACCCGTATATTTACTTCCCATCCCACCAGCTTCCTCCAAGGAATGCTGCAGAAAGCTGGGAAAACCTGGGAGCACCTTCACTTAGAACCACGACAAAGGTGTATGTGAAATTCCAAGCAGATTATCTAAGATATTTAAGGAGAAAGCCATTCCGAGAACTCCAGTGTGTAACTCCCAGGGGACTAAGTACAGAGGACGGGCAGGCTGCTCGTTACAGTTTTGAGTCACCATTTACAGCTTTATAAGACGTCTAAGGTATCGATGACCTGATGTCTTTGAGAGGGAAGAAAGCTTGGTAAGGAAAAATGCTTTCGTTGGAGGAAGGGGCTGTGAAGAATACAAATCATCCTAGACTAAGGCACTTGGGACAACGCAGTGATCCAGATGGAGAATGAGCAAGGCGTGGATTCATGACTGAAGAGCCTGGTGGTGGGGATGGAGACAAAAGGACAGATTTTAATGGGATAATTGAGGCAGCTGGGACGTTCTCCCGGAAACCACACTCTTGGACACCAGTATGAATGCCTCTGAGCCCTACCTGTACAATTTGGCTGCAGAAGCACATTTTCAGATCTGTAGTCAATAACATACTTTTGTACAAATGAATGGTATTCACTTTGTGGAAATGATCACGGAGGAAGTCAGGCTGTGCCTGCTGAGTCACCAGGTGTCAGCTTGGACCACGAAACGTTGGGAGCTCCACTGACGACAATGGCACTGCTCAGAGACCCCCACCCTTTCTTTCTCCCTGGTCACCCTCCAACGACCACCAACTTTCTCACCCTGCATTCATCTGATTAGTGTGAAGAGCAATAAAGTTAGTGCAACCCAGAGAAAATGATGACCCCAATTTAGCCACAAACCAAGAGTAATGCAGCCCGAATTACTGCTGCCTCCCGAAAGTTCCTTTGCCAGTGCAATTAAATGCTGGTCTGAAGGTATCGCCTTTTTGACAGGATGAGAGATTATTTCACTCTCCTTGCTAAATCGGTCCAATTGAAAACCACAAATTATGCGAAATGTGATTTAGGGCTTTGTTTTGTGGACACAAACAATAACCCCACACTCAATTTACTAAACCTCTCCCAGCCTCTTGGTGTGCACGGGAAGATTGTGTGTTTAAGGCTGCATTCAAGCTAGAGGGGAAAAAAATTACACAGCTAATATTCTTCCTGAACTATAGAATTTTTCCCCTGGCCATAGTAAAAAGCAAAAGAAATTAACATGCAGACCTGTCTGGATGGGGTAACATTTGCTCTTTCCACCAATATTCAGCAAATGCTTATTATGTGCACAGCGCCATACTTGTAGCATTTTCAACCCTTTGGGGATAAAGTAAAAGAGGCAGGCTGTTCAAAAAGTAAATTACAAAAGAAGGGGTATCAGAGTCCATAAATGAAAACAGGTCTAGTGCTGGGAAAGCTAACTCACCCCAAAACAAAACTGTCCATGAACCATAATCAGCTAACAACAGGAGCTGTGCAATAACTAAACCATATACATATGTGGCAGGAACAACTTACGAAAAGCTATTAAAGAAAGGTGGCAGCAGTAAATACGAGGTGTGATTAAATAATATGGTAAATGTTTAAATAAAAAAATGTATTATAGTGAAAGACACATTGCCATTAATCTCCCTCAAAATACTCACCCCGCTTCAAACACACTTATCCCATCGTTCGTGCCACTTTCTGAAACAGTCCTGGAAGTCCTCTTTCATGATGTCTTTAGTTGCACTGTCATGGCTGCCTCGATGTCCTGAATCATTTTGACTTTGGGGAAGAGCCAGAAGTCACATGGTGCCAGATCCAGTGAATAAGGTGGATGAGGACACACCGTAATGTTTTTATTTGACAGAAATTGCCTTATACCAGAAGGGATGTGTGACATGGAGCGTAATCATGATGGAAAATGATTTAAGACACACTTTAAAACACACCTTCTCTCAACTGTAGCTCACATCAGACTGCACCAAACAAGTTGAAACTTGTCACACACTGCTACTAAGGTTCAATGTGCTGCTTCTCGTATTGAAATCCCTGCCTTTCTGTTGGATGGCACTCGGCAGCAGCATTCACTGTATTTTGTGATCACAACGGAAAGGTTCCGTGTCACACATCGCTTCTGGTACATGGCAATTTCAATCAAATAAAAATATTACAATGTGTCCTCATCCACCTTATTTACCGGATCTGGCACTACGTGACTTCTGGCTCTTCCCCAAAGGCAAAATGACCATGAAAGGTAAACATTTTGAATCAATTCAGGACACCAAGGCAGTCACAAAAGCACAACTAAAGACACTCACAAAAGAGGACTTTCAGAACTGCTTCAGAAAGTGGAAAGAACGATAAGTGTATTCAAAGCAAGGGGGGGTGTTTTGAGGGGAATTAATGGCTAATATGTCTTTTATGTAATACATTTATTTTTAAGATTTTATTGGGGAATTGGGGGAGGGAACTGAGTTGGGGAATCAGGGAAAGGGAACAGACAAGTTGCTGTCCATTTGTTCTTCAGTCTAGTTGCAGAGGACGTCGCTTCACTGGCCCATGTTGGTATTATCATTACGCTCTTCCCGGGTGAGGCAGTCGCTCACCAGCCATTGGATAGCCACTCATGGTGGCTCACAGCAGCTCACGAAAGCTCATGCCCGCTGCCAGCCAACCCCACTGCAGCCTACGCCGTCGGTGGCGACTCATGGCAGCCCAGCTCCAGGTCGAGCTGTTGTTGTTCACCATCTTAGCTGTAGAGGGCGCAGCGTCACTGGCCCTCATGTGGGATCTGAACCGGGCCCTGCTGCTCAGAGCTGTGCTCAGAGCTGGTGTCCCAAACCAACTCCTAACCAACGCACCTTTCAGCCAGCCCCTGTAATACATTTTTTTAATTTAAACATTCACTGTAGTTTTTGACCACACCTTGTAAGTCATTAGTCAGAATATTCTGGTGGAATTTTTCAAGATATCTATGTAACACATTAGGAAGAAGAAATTTAAAATATACACAAACAGTGAGCATCAAGATATTTCTTATTATGCATCTGAAATGTCCCTTTTTTATCAGTCTGCCCAGATTCTGATCATGACCCCAGCAGTACTTACATAGCCTATAGACAACAAGGAGCTAGCACACCAAAGAAACAGGGCAGTGTGATGTGGGGACAGGGCAGTCCTGGCCTGGTCATCTTAGGCTGACACTGGCCTCCCCCAATGAGCCCTTAAAATCTGTGTGTGTCTCTTACTTACCTCATAACCTCTCCGGACCTCTGCTTCCTCCAGTCTAAAAGAAGGCTGGACTATGGCCATTTCTAAATTCTCCTCTAGCTGGCTTTGACATTTTATGACTCTGAGAAGAGCTGGATTATAAAAATCAATGATATGGATTTAAATAATGTAAAAAACGGCGCCCTCAATTAGGAAGCTTAGCCATGTAGAACTCTGCTTATGACAGAGAATTCAGTGTCATTTTCTCTCCAGTGGTGGTGGCTGCTTTAATTTGGGGGCTTCAGCTGCTATATTTGGGAGAAAGGCCCCTAACTACTCTTAGGTGTTCCTGGCTCTTAAATGCCATTTTGCTCTGGTCAAATGGTCAGGGGACTGCTAGGGACATTCTCAGTCCAGAGCTTCCACTGTGTTTTGAAAAAATGACAAAGATGTGGTCATGTCACCCCCAGAAACTGCCCAGAGACTGGTCTCAAAGTAGCTTCTGGAAATCTAAGAACCTGGATGCTATTCTAGGGTTCCATCTACCCCAGAACTGTGTGCCGGTCCAGATCAGCAATGATCTCGATTTCTGGATGGTTCCACAGCCAGAAGCCCAAAATGCTTAGGGAGCTCAGGAAGGCCCCAAAGGGGAATTGTCTAATCTCCTGCATTGATTTGTCTTTAAAAAACTCCCTGGGGCAGGAAGCCTCAGAAAGCACTGACTGGACACAGTAGACAGACCAGAGCTCCAACCGTTAGAAACCGCTGAGCCAGCTCTATTACCGAGTAACAGCCTGACGTCTTCTAGAGGACGTATTATCCATCCTTGCTGGTTACATCTCAACAGACACAGCTAGCAG